TATATATGTGTGTGTGCGTTGTTATATAGAAATAATTGATAAGCCACTCGGTCGCAGCCATTCAAGTATCAACAATCGAAGCACGAAGCTAAACGTTTGTTTGGCTCGCTCGTCTAGTTGAGGATCTAATCTTGAGTCTTGAGTCGAGGAAAAAAAATATGTTCGAAACGCGTGTCGCAACCAGCCCGAAACTAGTTGTAATTTGTCTCAATTGCATGAGGTGGATCCCAGCTCAGCTCAGTTCAGCTCGGCTATTTCTAATTGAAAATTAAATTCATTTACTTCGGCCAGGTCATAATTAGATCCCAGAACCAGGTCTGCCCAATTGAGCCTCAATTGATAGTGCAGCTAATTATACTCGTTTGGATCCCATATATCTACCCATCATATGACAGCTAGGAAATTGACCGCGAAACAAGTGAAGCGCATTTCTCATTATTATTGTTTTTTGCATTTTGCTTCTTGTTTGCTTCTTTTTATTGTGCTTAAGTACATTGTACTCGTATTTTCGTAAATTTTGTTGTTGTTTTTCTTTGGTTTGATTGAGTTTAAGGAACCTAAATTGATAGCCAGCCTACGGAAAATTCTGTACGTTGCTCAGATAGGAAGACATTCGCGACCTTGAAATTTAGCCGATTATTGAATTTCGCGGGGGTTTCATATGAAAACAACTTTTTAGGGGTAAACCCTGGAGGCGAGACTCTTCAATGAAAACCGTTAGAATGTGGGAATTTCCATTAGTAAGCTGCGTTTGTTATGCAATCCCAAAATGTTATGAAGTGTTCAGGAAATAATCAGAGAAGAAAATCCAGACAATGACCCAAGGCACCATTTTTGAGGTAGCCTAGCCTTGATAGCTGTGAAAGGCTTGAGAATCAGTCTAGGCAGAAGAGCTAAGACCATGTTTATGTGGAAAACTATCAAATTGGAATGACTTTAGTCAAGAAGTATAAAGAAAGCCTTGGGAAGACGTCGGAAGACCTAAGAAGTCTTAGGAAGTTGGCGACGTTTTAGAGTATAGAGTGAGATGGATTTTTGGAACAAATAAAGAAAGATTCGAGCCAATTCGAACCCAAGAAATACACAATTATACGACAGGTCCGCAGCACCCGCTTCTCTTCTCTATGAGTTTATCCCACAGCAGCCGAAGGAGGTAAGGTTTGACAGGAAAGCCTAACCAGAGAGTCCTAAGTCAAAACTTTAATAGTTTTAATACAGAGTGTTGTTTCTATATACTTATTTAAGCCCGATGAAATTCGTAACTTAAGTCGTACCACTCACAATTTAAAAATTTCAGCCCCAAAATATCGTTTTCTATAAACAATCTTAAATCTTATTAACCAAATACATCTTTTATGCAGGCATACAGATCACATTTCCATTTTCTATTAACATATTCTAAGAGCTAACCACGCACCTTAGTCCGTTCCATTGCATGCGCAGCTTGTAGATGTTAAAGTTCATATCCCTGAACGATCTCATCTCCAGATCGTCCAGTTGCGAATGGGTTATTTTCAGATCGATATTCACATCGGCGTTCAGCTTATTGGCCAGGCTGTCGACGACAGCGTTGAAGGACTCGAGCTTCTCGCAGGCGGAGCTCGACGTGGTTGAAGGCTTTGCCCATTTCGCACGTGCACGGCGATATCTCCGGACGGGCCGAGCACTGCAACGCAGCAAAATGGAATACGGCGTACATAACAGAAGCCATATTGATGTCGAGTGCGGTTTATGTTGAGGAGACTTGAAAACTTTTTCCGATTTAGATTTCGATTTCACGGTTCACAGGATTTCGCTATGCGCTGAGCGACTGCAGGCAGTCGAAAATGTTTTTGGTGGGAAAAAACTGTCTGTACACGTTGCTATACGGATGCGAACATATGTGCCGGAGTTTCCATACTTGGGTTCGGTTTTTCTTTTTCTCTCTCTCGCTCTCTCTCTCTCCCTTTCTCTTTCACTCGATTTTTCGATATGTTGTCGACTTTTTAGGACCGTATTAGAACCGTTTTTCCCGTTCACTTTTTGGCCGGCATCGAGTTTCACGCGACAAAAAGTCAAAAACCAAAAAAAAAACAGCAGAAGAAGCAGAAACCCAGATGTGAGAGTTCTGTGTTTCAAATGTGGCCTGCAATGCTCGATCGTTTGTTTGACCTCTTGACACGCACATCTATGTATTAATCTTCTAAGAACAAAACAAAAAATAAAATAACACACACGCACACACTTGCACACACACCCGTACACACTCTATATTGATTTCTCACTCTCTCTGTATATGTGTGTGTGTGTGTGGATGTCTCTATATATTTTATTTACTTTTTTTGATTTATATTTTTTTAAGCCGCGCGTATTGAGCGAGATTGTGAGTGTGAAGTGTGGAGTCGATTTCTATATAGTATTATTATTCTACATATGCTGTATATATATATATATAATATATATATATTATATATATATATTTGTATTCGTATATTATGTTGTTCTTTATAGCACTCAACGTTTTTTCTGGAGCCCCGTTGCTCACGTCTATAGCCCAACACGGTCCGTTTGCGACTGGGAAAAATAATGGAAACGCTGAGGATCCGTTTGTTGGCTGCGTCGCCAGCAGCGACGTTGACGTCGACGCGGGCAGCGGCAGCGACTGCGCATGCTGCTGCTACTGTTGCTGTCTTGACTGTTGTTGTTGGTATTGCTATGCTGCTGCTGTTGTTGATGCTGCTACTGCTGCTGTTGTTGATGCCTTGAGAACTTTGAGCGCGCTTTTGAATGCAAAAGTTTTCTCTTTTGGCCACAAAGTATTGCAAGTTGCTGCTGCTGCCACAATTGCCACTGCTGACGGTGCTTCTGCTGCTGCTGCTGCTGCTGCCACTGACTGTTAGGCTATGTAATTGTTCAAGCAAACACTCAATTACATGTATTCCTGTCTTTTCAATCTCAATCTGAGTAGCTGGCGCCGCTGTCTGTTTTTGGTGCGTGATGTTTTTCGTATTGCCCCCTTTGAGCAGCACCAGCCGCAGTAGCAGCAGCAGCAGCAACAACTGAGATGGGTGTTGCTGCCACATGTGGCATGTTTGTAAGTTGAGTTTCTTAGGAACCTAGGCAGCAGGCCATGCCATGCCACGCATATACATATATATACATATACATATCTATGTATGGGGGCACCATTATCAACATCATGTGTTTACAAACTCTTGCTTCTACTCTTACGCACTGCTGATATATTGTCCTTTACTCACACACACATGCCAGCGGCGGCTGCCACATGCGTTTTGAAAATCAGTTTTATTTGTACGCAGCATCTTTTATCTGAGCATCTTTTGAGCAATGTTTTCAATTATGACGTTCTCAACTGCACAACGGCTGAATGAGCCGGCTTGTTATGATTTTGTTGTTGTTCGTGTGCCGCCTCATCGATGATAATCATGCGTGAAGATTCTACACATTTGGCAGACGCATTGGATACCCTACATGCATATAGAAATGTTAAGGCAAGTGAAATTCGGCTAACTAAGCTTAGATATGTATATACTCTGTACGAAACTTAAGCTCTTTAAGTTAAGCTATGTAAAACTACTTGAGAATATAATATATTCTAAAGCTTATTGTATTTTTCAACAATTTTTTATTGAACATTTTAAATCTAAATACCTTTCATCTAATCTTATTATTAATTATTAAATGGCAATTTCTAGTTGTTAAATTTCATCAGCCAATTTACAAGGTATTCCCGTCGCCTGCTCGCTCTAATTTTATGCATGCATGCAAAATAGCAATAACGGTGAATAGTTAACCATTTTGAGCTAGATATCGATTGTCGATAAGCCGCGCTTAGTATTTAATAAGTATTTAATTTGGTACTTAATTGCAGCGGCAGTCACAGCCAAAAGTTTTCAGCGTACTCGCGAAAAAATAAATCAACAATAATTGGCTACTGTGGCAACTGTGGCGCCACCTCGTTGCAGCTTGCCAGGCGCCACATTGAAACGAGTACGGTGCCAGTTGATGAACAAGGGGGCAGCAGCAGCAGCAGCATGCACCATGCATCAAAGTCCGCAGTCTTAATTTATTTTGAAGTTGTGGCTGAGCACAGCGCATACATAATTAACCAAAGCCCCCTTAAAAATGCCGTCTGTCGCGGCGAATTCCGCACGAAATTCCTGCCGGCTGCAATGCGCGTGCCAATGTGCCCCATCACAGCCTCTGCCTGCATCGCCCCCTCTCATTTACCCGGTTGCTCGCCCTTGCGCCCAACTACTACGACTGCCGCTGTTGCTGCTTCTATAGCTCCTGCAGCAATTAATCATGGTTGTTGGCAATTTTCTTGTGATTCGCAGCGAAACCTCAACTCAAACTCAATCTCAATCTCTGTCGCCGTCTTCGCCTTGTGAGCAAATGGCATGGACGGTTATTTTAGTGTGACCGTTACACGCCCACTTCTGGCAAATAGATGAGGACTAATTACATATTTATAAATAATCGATAAAACGTATTATAAATATACGAAGATTGCGTAGCTGAGCTATTTTTAAATTTCAATCATGCCTAAATCAACAACAGCAAACAACAGCAACAATTATGAATTATTATTTATTCATATTTGTGTTGCTGTCACATAAATATTTCACATTTCACAACATTTTTTAATTTGACAAATTTTTCGTGTTTCGCTTTCTCATGTGAAATATATTTTTGTTCTTTTCTTCTTTCTTTTTTAGCTGATTTCTTTGATAGTTGTTGTAATTCGAATTCCACTCGAGTGATTGACGAAGATACTGCAAAATTCCAGAGTTTGATCCGCAACGGAAATGATCATGTGCCAAAATTGATAGCCCTAAAATCGAAATCACGTCAATTGGGGCCTGGCTGTTTATTTATGGCAAAAATATTTGGCTGGAATTTGGTATTTGGCTGTCGTCACGGCTTTGTCTGCCGCCTGGCCACTGCGTCATTCGCCACGGGGACGCCATTGGATCAATCAACTATATAGTATATAGTCGACCGATAATGGAACAGAATTGGTTTTTGTGTATGTATGTACTTTTATTTAGCTTTCTTTTTATGCAGAGTTGTCCTAAAAAACTTCGACCATCAATTTCGTGTAGTTTCTTGCAGTTGATTATGTGTGTGTGTGTGATCGTGTGTGTATGCATGTATATCAGCTTTATATAGTGTATATATAAATATATAAGTGTGTGTGTATGTGTGTGTTTTGAAGCATCCACAGCCGAGCACTTCGTGTGACCGAACGGCTACAGAACTTATCCAATTAACTAAATATCAAATATAATATTTCGATATTAAAGTAAGATTTACAATATAAAGCACACTAAAGCACGCTTCATTCACGTCCACGCCCAACGCCCACGTTAAAATCCCCCACCCGGCCTACTTTTGCTCAGTAAACTTGGTGATTTGCGGATATTTGCTTGGCTTATAATCAATATCCTGTTTAAGGCGTTCGCGTGCATTGCTACGCACAGCCTCCGTATAAGATGCCTGTACAACGGCATCATGTGCTATGGCGTTGATCACAACATCCGGATTAATAGTGGGATTCACGTTGCCGGCTGCACCATTCGTGCCAGCGAGACCGGAGCTTTGTAGAGCGCGTTGCACTCCGCTTGAAATTAGACACTCAACATTTGCTGGCTTCTCTGTTTGGATGATCTTGCGACGCTTGGCAGACATGCCTGATATATATGCATCGGAGTACGGAGGCTGTGGCCGGGTTTGCTGGAAGACAATCGAGATAGTGATTAAACTAATTGTTTTCATTCTTACTCTGTCCACTCACCTCTGTTTGTGTCTGCAGATCCCGTGTTATCACAGGCAGCCAGTCATTGGGGAAATTAGTGTGCCAAGGCTCCGAGCCGACTGTCACAGCGGGTAAGGGTGGCTCGATCTCTGTGGCATTGTTGCTACTGCTGCTGCTGCCGGCTGCTTCGGCCATTTCAATGTCGGTGTCGAGTGATTGTTGTGCCGGCTGTGGCTGTGAAGGAAAAGCAAGTAGAGGTGGCCACACAAAAGGTTCCTATTAGTTAGCGCTTTAAGCAGCTGCTCAACAATTCATTCTCTGACTTACATCGGCATCTGTGTTCGTTGTCAGTGCATTGCGTAGTACCAGGAACTGTTGAGCATCGGCGGTATCCGTCGTTGCAGGTATTGTTGGATCAATGTAGATGCATAAGAACTGCAAGGCTTCATTGCGGAAATCTGAAAAGAGGGTCATAATGTTAGTTAGCCACAATCTAAGCCAAAACTACTTCACTTACTAAAACGCAGTGGTGCGCTGAGCCGGCCCATCAGTTGACGCCAGTAGAGCTCCGCATTGTTACTGCCAAGGCACAGGAAGAGCACGCTATATAATCGCTTCCGGAACTGATCGCAAATTTGCTTAAGCTGATGTTCGAAGTGGGTGCTGCAGCTGTTGCCGTAGCACAGCTTGATGATCCGATTTAGGCTCTGGCGCAGCGTATTGCAAACGGAATCACGAGAATTGTATTCCGGTCGTTCGTATTGGCGCAGAAAGAGCAGATTGTCGCCGAACCAGTCCAGAGCTCGCCCCACAGCCAGACGCATCGTATCCGGATTGACGGACTCACCCTCGAAGACGCTGTGGTGCAGAAAGCTGCGCAGCTGGGCACGCAGATTGCTCGTCTCTCGGGTGACCGTCGCAGCTGGAGCGGAACCAGAGGCTGTTGCTGGCGTTGAGCCAGAGGCCAAGGCGGCGGCGGCGGCGGCGGCGGCTGGAGTCGCATTGGTTGCAGCGGCTCCCGCATTGGTTGCTGCGGTCGAGGTGGCATTGGTTAACCCAGTTGTTGTGTCACCCAAAGCTGTTTGCGCATGATTTCTCATATTAGTAACCAAAAAATTTTCAAACATAGCGGATATAAGTCTGGATATGGTTCTTTGCATGGGCCGGCCGTTCGGTTGGTGTGCACCAGCACGGCGACTGATTGTGAAGCTCGCACTGCTAGGGCCACCTACACCACCAACGGCAGCGGCACCATTACCACCACCACTACCATTGGTACCACCACCGCCAATAGTCGTCAATCCCGGCGCGCTTCCGCTTCGGAGCTCACGGCTGATGGCGGCACGTCGACGCGACATGGGACGCGAGAGGCTCGTGCCGCTCTGGCTACGCGGCATGCGACTAGCGGTGACTATGAGATGAGATGACACGGATAGAATGCAAATTAGAATGTCAGAGATGCAAACCGGAAGCGGAAACGAAACTCCCTGCCTAAGGTACTTGGATGTAGTCTGAGTGTGGGAGTGCGTGTGAGTGTACGGGAGTGAGTGTGCGTGGGTGAGTGAGTGTGAGTGTGAGTGAGTGTGTGTGCCTGTTGTGCATTGGAGGTTGGAATTTTGCGGCCAACTATTAGCTTAACTAGATTCGAACAGGACTTTGGCAAGGATAATCTATGATCAGACTGAAATCGGTACTATTCTATATGGAAGAAGTATAACCCCTGGAATACATGCGCATATTAAAGCAGAGTTAATGAACTCAGGCTTAAGAAATTCGGTATCTTGTAACAATCCGAAGCACAAGAAATCGGAAGAAGAAAAGGAAATAAAAATCTCGTTTTCTATTTGCTTTTAAGCTGCAGATGTGTACTCTAAAGATTCCCTGGAATCCTCTCTGTCTCTGTTAGTAAGCCGGTCTACATCTCTGGTGAATGTGTTAGGATGAGAACAGCAAGTATGCCACGTGGCGAGGCGCGACGAGGCGTAGCCGTGCAGTGCCCGAGACATTACACCGATTACATTTTTTTATCATTAGACAGACGATTCGGCAAAAATGAGAATCTTCATTTTTTATAATATAAAAACTTACCAGTGGCTGCATTTGCCGATCTTCGATTGTTGTTTGTGTTGTTGTTATTGTTGTTGCTGCTGCTGATATTGTTGTTGAGTTGCTGTGATTGTTGTTGTTGTTGTTGCTGTTGCTGGATCAATGGCTCAGGCTCACGAATATGATGGCTATTGCAGGGCAAGAAACGATCGAAGGCCGTATGCGTGGGTGCAATGCGTCCGGCCCAATTGTTATTGCCGCCAATCTGAATCTGTGGCCGGGACGTAGAGCGCGTCTGCGTGGCCGTTGTGGGCAATGTATTTGCACGCTGCTCGCCGCTGCGCGTGCCACTCGATGTGGATGCAGCAGCAGCAGCAGCGGCAGGAGCTGCAGAAACGGAAGCAGCAGCAGCCACTCCAGAACCAGCCGATGCTGTGGCAGCTGCTGCATTTGTTTCGCCAGCTCCGGCACTGTCGGTGGCGGCTGCTGGTCGTCCCTGTGCCTGTGCCTGTGGATGCACAGCAGCTGTCATCACATGCACCGGCAAATTGATGGACATCACATTGGGCACATTGAACTCGAGACGCAGATCCGCATCGTTTGTGGCGCTATTAACCACTGCCTGAATAAGACGAGCCATTCGCATCTGAGGATCTGCAAGCGAGACAAGAAAATATCAGTAAATAGTTGAGAATTAATCAAACTAAATTTTGAACCGAAATTAAAACTAACTGCAGAACAACGAAAACTTTAAATAGGAACTGCTGGGACAAGTTTTTGGATTAATCTAATAATAATCTGGGATCATAGCTCTCAGTATTAGAGCTCCTTGAAGCTTGTAATGTAAACCTTTTCGATTTAATCATACAAACGTAGCTTTATGCAGCTTTAATCAAGATGAAATTGATTTCAGTTAGTGAAATATTATTTTGTTAAAAGGGAATCGCCCTCAGCTCTTGGATTAATCCAACAGAGAACAACAGGTATACAACGAATGAACATTTTAAGCACAGCGCTAAAGCTTTAAACATTATATTATTTTGTTAAGGGTGCAACTAACATATTACTAAATATGCTTCCATTCAAGATTATTCGAACTGAGTTCAGCTGAGCAAAAGCGTAGCTGAGCTGTATTAGTGAAGGAAAACCTACTGGGCGTTGGCAAAGAGACAGGCATATAGAGTCGAAACCTTGGCCTGGGTGCTTCATCAGCTTCGGCTGAACGCTCGACGTGCTCATCTAGAAAATCGACAAGGCATTAGTGGTAAGGTTTGACTTTTCTAACTTTTTCCATTGACTAAGGATGGATATATTCTCCACAGACTTACCTATTTCTGCACGGGGTTGTGTGCCGGCTGCATTGGTGCCAGCTGGCGCCACCATGGGCTCGTCCACTGGGTCCTCAAAGTTGTCGTTGCGTGTGACAAGGCCAGCGAAGACAGCAGCTGCAGCATCAGCATCTGCAACGCCTGCCGCTATTAGCTCATCATCCGTTGGTCCTTGTTGCGTGGGAGCTCTGCCTGTTGCTGTGGCAGGTGCTGTTGCACGGGCATTTCGATTGCGTGCGTACATCTCATCATCTTGCATGCTAGCCTGATCCTGTGGGCTCTCCTGGCGCAGATCTGCATCGTTTGTAGCACTAACTACGGCCTGAATTAGACGCGCCATGCGAGCCTGCGGATCTGTAAGCGAGACAAAGGAAATTTATTCAGTAAATTGTGGATTTAAGTGTGAAATTATTAATGAAAAAAAAAAAAAACAATAATGAAGGTGCAATAGAAGCTGTACTGTTGTGGCTCAAAATATATTTTTAAAGCTTTTAGCTTGATAAATTCTTATGAGAACAAAGAATATCAGTAAATAGTAGATCAAGATTAAAATAATTAATGAGCTTTTAAGCTTGATCTTCAAGCTTTAAGCTTTTAGCATTGCAGTAAGACAAACGGATTATTAGATTAAAGCACAAATTGGAGCTGTAGGCAAAGATTTAAAGCTCTTTGCCTTCATCTTTAAGGTAGGTTTAGAACGTTGTCTTTAGCCCTAAGATTAGTCTGGTAATACTCAATACTTTGAGTAGCAACAGGAACACAAAGCGAAGTTAAAGTCACGTCAATGAGTCAATGTTAATTTTAAAAAAGCTTATTAAAAGCTGTTTCATTAAGGATGCTGGATATAAGAGGGGCATCAATTGACCTTTTTATGCCAAATGCAAGTTAGCTAAGCAAGAGTAATCAAGGAGAACCTACTTAGCATTGGCAATGGGACAGGCATATAGAGACTAAGCCTTGGCCTGGGCGCTTCTTCACCCGCAACAGAGCTCTCCACGTGCTCATCTATTCAAATCGATACAGGATTAGTCGTACGGTTTCTATTGCTTGGATCTTTCGACTGGCACATATGTATATATAGACACTCACCCATTTCTTCCTGATTAGTTCCTGGTCGCTGTTGCTGCGCTGGAACTGTGCCTGTGGCTGAGGCGGCGGCTGCTGCACTTTGATTAGGAGTAGCACCCATATTTCGAAACCGTTCACGGCCTGCGCCAAAGTCTTGATTGAAAGCGCGTGCATATATATCATTCATATTATCCTGCATGCCAGGTGGGTTCTGCGCCTGTTCCGATTGTGTGGCAGCTGCGGCGCCTGCAACCGAAATTGGAGCGGGCAAGCCGCCTCCCATGACATCGACAACAATTTGCTGTTGTAGATTTAGACCATAGGGCGGCTGCTCCGGTTGTGTGCCTGTAGTTGCAGTCGCAGCAGTGGAGGCAGAGGCGGGTGCCACGCCTTGTGCAGCAGCTGCAGCAGCAGCCGTTGGCGGCACCTGAGCGATGAGCTCGGCAAGCGGAGCGGCCACCAGATTGGGCGTAAATATGTTATTTGAGCGTATGTAGCCGCTCTGCTCCACGAGAATGGGCCGGCAGGTGAGCACACGTGGACCGGGCTGGGATAGATCCAACATCAAATCGGAAATGGCGTGCTGGGCATGCGACAGATAGTGCAATGCTTCAGAAACACGATCGTAGATACGCTGCGCATTCTCGCGTCCCGTTGTGTCCTGCTCCTCAAAGCTGGGATCCTGCTGCAGTATTTCGTAGTAGCGATCGAGGAAAGGAGACAAACGTTGCTCGACGGTGCGATAGCGCTGAAAAACACTCGCCAGTACCTCGGGACGTGTGCGTCGACGTGGGCCAATGCCAGCGCCATTTGGCTGCGTTTCTCCAGCGGTCGCTGCTCCAGCCGCTGCGGCTCTATCCGTTGTCTGTGGTGAGCTGGAGCGCTCGTCTTCACCGGGTGGCGTGTTGGAGCCATCGGCTGCCTCATCATCGGTTTCAATTACATCCTCAATGATCACAGCAGCGGCTGCTGTTGTTTCCTCGCTAGTATCGACGCTGGCAGCGCCATCACTGCTGCTGCTCCCAGCACGATCTGCTTGCTGCTGTTGTTGTTGCTGCGGTTGTTGCTGTTGCTGCTGATGCTCACCCACCTCATTGGTGTAGACGGTGGGCATCTGCACCACTGTATAATTGCGGCCAGGTGTGTTGCGTGACAATGCAGCCGTAACTGCATCCTGTACCATGTCAATAATGTTATTGTTGCGCGGCATATCAGTGGAGGAGACGCCCACCTCGACCACAGTTGACTCCATGGTCCAGTGACCCCGTTGCAGTATATCCAAAGATTGATTATTCAAACCAATCTCAGGATTCTCCAGATATGCGGCTATATTATTGGCGCAATCGATCATGTGCTGGGCGACAGTGATGCGATTGATGCAGAAAGACGAGGAGTTGGGAAACCGATTTGGCGGTGTGCGAGCCTGCAACGAGTTACGATAATTAGAAAAAAGGATTCAGCCAGCTGAAGTATTTATTCTTACGCCCGCTGCGGTCAGAGGTCCATTGTTCACGGGGATAGCCATGGTTCCCACCAGCATGCCATCGAGTGCCCTGAAATATGGCGCATTGCGCAAATTTCTAGGTGCTGGCCTGCCGGGAATGCTGCGGAAGCCGCGCATCGGTTCATCGTTGTTCGTCGCGTTGGCGCCGCGTTGCGAGAAAGGCGGACGCTCGGCCACATGCAGAACTTTGCCATCAACATCTTGGAAATGGAAAAGTCTATACGTAAATATGTTGAAACAACAAATATTAGGCATGACTCACCGTACTCCTTCACCTGCTTATCATCTGCCAACACGCGGCCCTGATAAATAATGCGCTGATTCTCAGCTGCAATGTTGGTCTTCTCTGCAATTTGCTCCTTGAATTGACGTATGGTTAGCTGGAAAAATACAAAAAAAAACCAAAGAAAAGCGTTCAGCACACAACCTCAAAAATTTACACACACACACATACACTTACACACACACTTTCATACACGTACTTACCTCATTGTCGATGCTGAAGTCGTGTGTGCGAGCATCTAAAGTTTTCACCTTTAGGTTTATTAACATTTTGTCAGTCGCGTCAGTGCAGCAATTGGACCGTGTTTATCGAATGCTGCTGAAATAGTCTCCTTTACGGCAAATAAAACTTACAACAGCCAAAGGCAGAGAAAATCGGTGGCCGATGTACGATGGCAATCGCTGTGTCTTGTTTCTGCCAATCGAATCGCATTCGCATTCGAATTCGCCTTTGCTCGCTCTCACTCTCTCGCTCTTTCTCACTCTCTTCGATCCGGTGTAGCCAAGTGTGGGAATTTTTTTTTTGTTTTATTCAATGTTATATTTTGCTTTCGCCTGCGTTTGCGTATCGCTCAAACCGCTGTTGTGTCACATTAACACCGTATGCCAGTCGATTTTCAAGCAACTAAATCGAAATATATTTCTGCTAAATTTTGAATAAGAATTACACAAAAATAGCGAGCGGCTACGACCCAGAATTCTTAACTTTTTTACTTTTTATAAAATATACTATATACAAACGGTAGTAATTTACTTATGTGGTATTTTGATATCGAGCCAATACGGTCACATGGTGTAAATGTCGTACAATTAATCGAACTATCGACTGCTTTAGTTTTCCGTATTTTCGGCAGTTTGGCTAGGCTGTGCAATTAAAAATGTATATTTTTTATCTATCTGGCTACACAGGCGAAACGCTTCAGCCCTGGCTTACTGCCATTTGGCGCAACTTTTAAATATTTGAAAAATGCCTCTGGTTCATTTGCACTGCACATGCTCTGTGAAAAAGAAAAACAGCAACTGACGTGCTTGCCGCATATATTATGCCACAGTTAACCCGCTCCAAGGCCTTTGCGACGTCTGCTTTGAACTGCATCCTGTGGGAATTTGCTCAAAAAAACTGAATAATAGCTGAAAAAACGAGCCAACGCCAAGGTGTAGAACAACTTTTCGCTTTGAATATTTAAGTGGCAGAGCCAGCCGCAGGTACGCTAAGAGTGGGGCGGGGTCTGTTGTAAGCCAGCAAAAAGGCAGCTAACACAATTTTTCTTAGACCCCGGAAAATGTGAAAATGCGGAAATGTGATTTAATGTCGGCTCAAAATGATTGCCGAATATTTCTGTTGTTGTTGTTGGGTTTGAGGGTTAAAGCTTAAACACTTTAATAAATCGACATGCCAGAGAGAGAGAGAGGGAGATAGATACAGAGCGAAGGAAAGAGAGAGAAACTATATAAGCGACTGCAAAGGTCGATAGATTATTTAAGCTATGGCAGAAGAAGAAGAATTTAATTTTTCATTTCTATTTAAATAAAATAAAAATAAATAAAAAGTAAAATTATAAAAAACTGTATTTTAAGTTTTTTAAGTTTACTTGATTATACAAAATTGAACTTAAGCAACAAATATAAATAAATTTGTCTTAAATGTAACTTTTTTTTATTTTAATACATACAATAAAATATATAATACAATTTTTTTTTTTTTTTAAATTATGAAAATAATAATAAATAATAATTAATAGAGTTTCACTTGGGTTAGCGCAATTTACAAATTGCTTTCAAATGGGCTGTAAAAAGTTTTTAATGAGTTTTCGACACTTCGCCTCGGTCTCTAAACAGGGCTTTTCCACAGGCTACACCCACAGACCCCAGCCTCCCCCTCCCTGTAGCATTTCCATTCCCATTTTCATTTTCATTTTCATTATTATTTATTTTTACTTTTTTTGGTGTTTTTTTTTGTCACGCAAAAAACTTGGTCGTGGCGTGAAAAGTGGGCGTGGCGCCATTTTCACGACAGCAACAATAATAATTGCTTTGTTGTTGTTGTTGACTTAATGAAATTATATCAATCGGCAGATCAGCTACCCTGCAAATGAAAATTGTTGTTGTATTTCGTGCATCTGGCAGTTGGAAAATGACTTTTCTTCTTCTACTTGCTTAATCTTAATATTTTCATTAGGAAAATTTTTGAATTCCAATTGGCGTTCGGACTGTGAATTGTAATCATTTTGCTTTTGGTCAACAACATTATTTTCTTTTTTTATTGTTTTGCGCCCGCTTTTCCGGCATTTTCTCGAGCGCGTGAGCCAAGTCTCACGTCAAATTAAATCAAGTTATAATATAAAGAAAATTGAAGCCAACTCCCATTTGTGCCATAAGACACACAGAGCCAAAGAAGTGGGGCGGGGGCGTGTCTGTGGGGTAACTTGTGTGTGAGTTAGAGATAGAGAGAGAGGGGAGAATGGAAGTTGGAGAGGGCAGCCGTTTGGCAATATAACAAAAGGAAGACAAAGGCGATATTAACCCATAGATGAGCAAATAAGATGAAAATAGTTTGAAATATATAAATTTATAAACAAAATATATGAAATCAATAAATTCTAGTTCAATATAGCCCGCCTAAGGGCTAAGCTCTTACTCATTATAAGATTATATGAGTGTATACGTGTTTGTTTATGTTGGTCTACACAAGTCATACACATAAGGACTAAGCTCAAGCACATCTTATAATTAGAAGAGTATCAGTATGTGTGCAGTCCTATAAACTCACAAATCACACATAAGGGCTAACTAAAGTAGCTAACTTATAATTATAAGACTGCTGTGTATGTGTTTGTTCTGTGTAATTGAGCTGCTACAAGCCATAGCCTTGGGCTAGGTTTGAAGTAAAACTGATCAATAGAAGAGTGCATATGTGCGTGTCTCTTTCTGTATATACTTACGCTCTTACAAATAATTATAAGAGTGTATTTATCATACGGCCTAATGGACATTCTTATAATTATAAGATTCTATGTATGTGTGTGTATTTATTCGTTTATTTATGCTGTAATTATATAAGTATGTGTAATGTCAGTATAAGCTTAACTTATATTAATAACTGAGTATGAGTGTGAGCGTTAACATATATTGGTAAATGTTTAACGATTCATAGTTTTAATTGTTCGTAAATAATTTCCAATTGCAAAAGTGGCAATTGCATTTTGGCCACGTAAATATATCGCAAACTTTTTGGGCGCGACCCTCCACAAATTTATGCTGCACACTTAATCTAAGCTGTCAATGCAAACAGAAACAGAAACAGAAGCAGAAGAAACACTAGCGAGCTAACGTAATTGGTGCACATTACGACAAAACGTAAAAATCGCTCAGTGTTACGTTGCGCTTGGCCAACACTGGCAAGCGCACATATGTGAAGTCGTAAAGTTTTAGTTGCATTCAAGCCTTGCACAATTTCGTCTTCGTCTTTCGTCCACGTCTTTGACTTTTAATTTATGTTTCAATTCCAATTAGCAGACGAGGCGCGTGGAGTAGCTTTTATGCGAGTTCCGTTAATTGACTTTCGGCCTGGCGATGGCGCGTCATTTGTAATTGTATACGAAAAATAGAGGAAGAGCAAGAGAGAGAGGCAGGGAGAGTGAGAGCGTCATTTTTTTTTTTTTTTTTTTTTTTTTTTTTTTTTCGTTTTTATTTCTTTATTTTGTTGCAGCTTATTGTCTTAGACTCTATAGCGCATTTAGCTCTAAACCTTAACTAATGGGAGGGCAGATATGCCAATTATTCTGCACTTGTAGCTACTATCTTAATTAGTTCTAATATTGTCTAGAGGATGCAATCTCTTCAGTCTTCGCCTATTGTTGTTTATAGCCAGGTTGCTTGCGAGATGGTTAGGATGCGCTGCAAGTCTGTCCGCGTATCTTGAACTGTGTCGCCCAATGAGTTCAGCAACTGTGGGAATTGCTAAATCCCTATGTAAGACTGAGTTTCTTACAAACCAGCTGGCTCCAGTCCATCTGCGTAGTGCTTTATTCTGCAGGGTCTGAATTTTGTTCCTTGTAGTCTTCGCCGAGGAGCCCCATAGAGAGATACCATATACGAAGGTTGGGACAACTATTGCCTTGTAGATGGCGGCCTTGCTGCTGTAAGACAACTTGCTTGAAGCTCTCAGCATCCAGTCGAGGGTTTTTAGCTTGCTTTTGCATTTTGAGGTTACTTGACTTATGTGCGCTTTAAAAGTCAGCCTTCTGTCAAGAGTGATACCAAGGTACTTTACTTTTGAGGCTTTGGGAATAGTGGGCCCCAATGCAACGCTTGGGCAATCTCCTCTTCTAGTGGCGAAGGTAGTATGTACAGACTTTTGTGCATTAATGGTGATACACCACCGTTTTGCCCAGCGTCCGAAAGAGTCCAGATATTTTTGTAGTGAGTCTGAAGCTTCTTGCGCAGATACGTGACGTGATAAGATGGCGGTGTCATCTGCATAGGTCGCTATGAGTACTGCATCTGTACTTCCTATATTTGGCTCGGGAGTTGGCATATCTCCTGTGAATAAAGTATAAAGTGTTGGGCCTAGAACACTACCCTGTGGTACTCCAGCCATAATTGGTCTAGTCAAGGATACTGTTTGCCCCCTTGACACTTGGAAGGTTCTTCCAATAAGGTATGAGGATAGCAACGCGAAAAATGGGGCTGGAAGGGTGGTCCTCACTTTCTGCAGCAGTCCCAGGTGCCAAACTCGATCAAACGCCTGTTTGATGTCTAAAAAGACGGCAGAGCAGTACATCTTTTCTTCAAAGGCTCCAAGGATATGGTGCACAACTCTGTGAACCTGTTCCGGTGTTCCATGCTGTCTCCTGAAGCCAAACTGATGGTTTGGAATGGCCTCCTGGCGTCCCAGATGTGTCAGTACTCGTTCCAGAAATATTCTTTCGAATATTTTGGAGAGTACTGGCAACAGGCTAATTGGTCTGTACGACTCAATTTCTCCCACGGGTTTGCCAGGCTTAGGAATCATCACAATCACGGCGCGCTTCCAGCAGGCTGGAAAGTGCCGGATGCGGAGCATGGCGTTGTACACCATAGTTATGTAGTCTATGGTGGAGTCAGGCAGTGCTCTAAGGACTCTGCCGTTTATTAGATCATATCCAGGGGATTTTTTTGCCTTCACTCTTCTGATGTGTTCAAGAACCTCTTCTTTTGTACATCCAGTTATCTGGTCTTCAGCTGGGAGGGGCGAGAGAACGATGTCTTCTGTTGCTTCGATTTCTGAGGCCTCTGCGGTAATCACCGGCGTGAATTGGTCTTGAAGGTGGTTTGCAAAAGCCTCAGCTTGAGCTTCGTCTCCAATGTGCCAGGAACCAGAAATGCTCCGAATGGGATGACGTCGTATTGGCTGCCGTTTGAGCTTTCTTGTAAATTTCCATAATTGAAACTCTGCGTCAGTGGGCGATTCAGCTCGTACCAGCGCATCGCTGATACACCTCTTTTGAAGCAGGGCGAGAGCAGCTTTAAGATGCCTCGTGGCTTCGTTGTACATGGATTTGGCATCAGGCGTGCGTAATCTTAACCAGCGTCTCCTGGCCCATCTTTTGTGTATTAGTAGGTGTTGGGCCTCCAAGGTGAGGGGGATGTTGTACGGAGACTGTTGTCTTGTTTGGCAAGATGGTGGGGCGGCTTGGTGCGCAGCTTTGACTATTTCTTCCTGCAGTTTGTTTGCTGCGTAGTCCACGTCTTCAGGAGTGTTAAGTTCCATTTCTATGTGCAAAGAGTAATGGAGCTCGCGCCTAAAGACTCCTAAATCTGATCCTGCT